GCTGTTGCTGTTGCTGCTGCTGCATCATTCATAAAAAATGCCATAAATGCAGACACAGCAACAACATCGGCACGTAGAGTAGCTGCTGCCGCCTCCCTTAGCTCACCTTTCCAGGTGCGATTTTCACACTCGACACACCCGCTCCTTTTCACCCACAAGCAAGCTTTTCTACCAACCTCGTCACCTTGTCAATTTTACATGTAGAGCACGTGTCGCTGCTCGTGCTCAGATGTTGTTGTTGCTGCTGCTGATGTTGCTGCTGTTGCTGTTGTTGCTGCTGTTGCTGTTGCTGCTGGCAATGTAAATTTCTTCCTCAACTCTAATTAAAGAGCTCTTCACAAGTCCTCCTTGAACCTGCAACACCATCAAAACGGGTAACTGCAATACAGAAACTTTTAATTTGATACACGGCAAACTCCAGGAAAATAAAAGCTGAAAAACACACAAGAAAAAAGTGCACAATAAAAACCGTGTCTTTTTTTCTATCTTTCACGGTTGCAACACCTGTCGAATTGTGGACATCAGCATTAAATAGAATCCAAATAAAACAGTGCCGGGGGAAAATATATATAAATATGTTAAATATAAAGCTTGCGGCGAGAGCAGTCACAGAGAAAACCCAGCAAAAAAAGCGAACACGGCAAATACGGAGTAGAAGAAATGCACACAGCACAATATAAAACAAACAGCACGAACAAAATATTAACAAAATATAACTCTCGAAAATAGGTAAAAAAAAAAAAACAAGATCGAGACATAGCTTTATGTGTGCTGAAACTTAGACAAATATGAATATAAGCAAATAGAAAGATATTAAATATTTACCAAATGGCAAATGGAAAGTTTTCTTACCGCGAATTCGAAACGCGTGTCGAAAACAATTGTAAAAGTAAATAATCCAAAATAATGAACTTTTGACACACTTTAAAATAAAAATACTGCTGCTTTAAAATAGAATTTTAATTACTTTTGTTCATTTTTTATTTACTGATTTTATTAAGGCTCACAATTTTATTTTTAGGCTCACAAACAATTTTAATCACATTTGTGTTATTATTTTTTTAGTACTATACTAATTTCATTATTATTAGTACTGTAATAATTAATACAAAGTGTTTTTCAATCAAAAAGTTTTGCTCAATATCTGTTTTGTAAGCTTATTAATGGAGTCAAGACGAACCAAAAAAATCATACTAAGATATAATTGTTTTGTAAATAATAAAAAAAGGGATAATACGAACCAAAAAAACACAAGTTCAATTTTTTTTTTATTAACTTATCGCCTTGATTCGCTAAATAAGATAACAAAATATTAACTCAAGAATGCTGCTCTTTTGCTGCTATTTTCGCTCAAAAAACTAATTTTAAACTATGATTTTTGTTATATAACCTATAATGATTTTACATTCCCTGATTTTAACAGATTATGATCAGTATCATGTTTTTTTTACACATATATTCCAATATTTATTATTAACGGGTGCATATAAAATTTTTCAAAATTACAGAAGGCATAAAAGTATACTATTTTTACATAAAAATAAATTATAACTTTATTTTTAGCTTGATATATAAACTACCAACTTACTAATCAACGTCTTTTAACGACATTAAAATAATATTAGTCGAACCAAATTTTCAGGAATAATGATAATTACAATTGTAAATGTTGTAATTATGACAACACATATTCTTTATATTAAATATAGTTTTTTTCATCTTAAAATGCTTATATATTTTTTAGTTTTCATAATTTTTCCTTGAAACCAAATGGAGTAACAGCCACTGAAAAAATCCGTTCAATGTTTTCCGCAAACAAATCCAAGGCAAAGGCCCTGGCAAACAAACAATCAAAAAATATAAATACAATCATATTCGCATGAAGTTTTGGCCAAAAACGCCTTCGTTTTGGGTTCCCTTCCCGGCTTTGATTTTAATTTTGTGTTGTTGCTCTAGCGTGGCAAAATGAAGAGGGGATTTTCGCGGGGGGGGGGGGGTCCACAAAACAGTAGGTGGCTGAGGGGAATCGTCTGCACACAGAGATTTATGGCGTCACGTTGGCAACTACTGGTTTTGATTTTTATTTTTAGAGTTTACCTTACGCCGCGCTCTAACAATTCGCGGCTTCATAGCTGCTGGCTTTATAATTGCTTTTTTTAAATTCACTTTTTTGACAGCTCTTTCTCTGCTCTTTTTCTACAAATTTATACTTGATTTGGCTCAGGTAAAAGTGAGACCCAACTTGAGGTTAAAATTTACAGAACTCTTTTAAGGAAAATTTGGAGGATCAGTTCAGGTTGCTGGGTGGCCATCAAGTGTCACCCGATTTACTCTATTCTTTAATGCACTCAATCATTTTTCTGAGTCATTTTGTATCTAATTGTTAGCAACATTAACAAAAAAAAAAACGCAAACGTAGACATAAAGAAAATGGCAAGTTTAAAGTTTTTAAACAGTCAGCAATTAAAGTTCCTCTTGATGTCGCTGTCAGTTTGGCAATGGTTTGGTGTTGCTGGCCATTATGTGCATAAAATCACCAACAACATTAGGAGGGCTAACCAAAAACACAAAATATACAATTGTCATGCATAATTACGGCTCGGAAAAATCCAAAGAAAACCTCGAGTGTTGACAAAAAGAAGGGTTTTCAGGGAAGAATCTTAAGTTGGCTTGCCAAATTCTTGGCGGGAATTAAGCTTAATTTCTAGAACGTTGGAGCTAGGAAATAGACAACAAAATTTCATAATGATGTCATTGGCAAGCGGTTAGCTCAATTCTCAGTTCAGTTTTGGCAACATTAGAAAAACTAAATGTTTAACATGAGTTCACAAACTAAACGAAAGCAATTTTCATATTATTAGGATGTTTTGTTTTCATGCTCTACAATCTTAAGTTCTAATAATTTTCTAACAATAATACGAATTTCCAAAATTTGTAGTTAAGTATTTAAAATATTTTCAACTAAAACGTTCTTTCTACAAAATTAAATAAATATTTTTATTTTTACTTGAACTTTAAAATTTTGTTTTATTTTTTTAGATCTTTAACAAAATTTTTAACTTTCAAGGGTAAGTAATTTCATATTTTCACATAAATAAATCCATTTTCAACCAACAAGAAAAGTTATTTTTCACACAGTTAAACTAATACTACTTATTTTCGGGCTTCGAGATTTAAAAAGAAAAACTAATTGCAAACAAAGGTCTAACTCTTATATCTCAGTTAGTAAAATGTATGGACTATAAAAAGACAAACATAACCATAATTTAGCATATGTATATTTGATTAAAGACAAAAAGGGAGTGCTTAAAACTGCTTAAAACCAACGTCTTATTTAGACAAATTTGGGCAATAAAATACATTTTTATAAAACAAAACTCGACCGCAAAAAAAATCCAAAACAAATTGACATAAAAAGTAGCTAAGTAGCTGCAATATATATACGCTGGTTCGTGCAGAATATACGTACTATCTATATAGGTATTTGTGTAGGAACAGCTAGCACTGGCTGCTATTGAAATTGAAGGCGACAACCGTCGTAGACGACGACGTTCCGCGGAGAGCTTTTCCATCTCTTTTTCTGCTTATTTTTGTGCTTAATTTTGCTTTGCGTTTTGCCCCTGCTACAAAGCTACAACTGAGAGGCCAAATAGCCTCTTTCGCTCACTCTCTCCTCAACTTTTGGTCTCTTTTTTGTGGAGCCCCCAAACACAACATGTGTTTCGTCATCAAAATGTTATGTTTTTTTATAAATATTCAAATAATTTTTTAATTATTTTAAAACCTTTAAGTTTTTTCAAAAAACAAAAAAAAAGCATTATCAAAACTAAAATAGGTTCGCTTTTGTTTAAAACACTACATTCAAGCTACTTCAACTTTAAAAAACTATTTAGTAATAAATAACCTCAGTATACAGTTAATATTATTTGTATTTGCTTTTTGTTTTTAAGAAATTGCAAATTTAGAACTGAATTCAGAAAGACTTTATCTCAAAAAAGCTTATGTGCATAGTATCTCAAAAACTAAAAGTATATTTCAACCTGTGGTTTTTAAAAACATTAGGTTCTAATTTTCTAAAAAAAAATTTTTTGTTTATTTGTACCCCAATTGTGCTTGTAGATCGGTCGATTGTATTCTTTAACTGCGTATTTCGTGCTGTTTTTCGACATCATAAAATATTATATAATATCAGTTTCATAAAAATCATATGATAGAATCGATAGAATTTTAACTTTGGCTTGCCGAAATTAGCTTTCGGTTTTTTGTTGTTTGTATAATAAATATACATATATTCCCTTCAAACTTATTTTATTTCAATTACAAGGCCATGCTGTAAAAAATTTAAATTAGCAAAAGGGAGGTCTTTTAAAAGTCGTATAAAAAAAACGAATAACAATTCTTGTAAAATTTAATAACAAATTAAAATAAATTCTATTTATTTTGCTGTTTTTGAAAATGTAAAAATTTCTGTCGTTTTGTCTTGGTTTTAAAACATTTTTTCTTTTTGATTTATATATATCGCATTTTAAGGCCTAAAAAATGACTTGTTAATGCAAACTAAGTGTTTACCTCTTATCTTGTTTAAAAATCTTGCGAGAAACTTTGTTTTTAAATAATCCAAAACTGGGTTCGTTTTTTGCTTTTGTTTTCGCCAAGCCGCCATTAAATAGCAATGTTGTTTTTGTCTTTGTTTATTGTGTTTGTTTGTGTTTTGCTTGTGGTGGAGCCCAAGCGAAAATGCCGGCACTTGAGAGAGTCGCGAAGAGCGTCAAAGAGAGGCAAAGAGAGTGGTCAGCTCCACCTGCCGTCCCGCTCTGATGGGGCCGCCCCACTGCGGCAGTGTAAAGAGGCCGGCAACAGTGATTGGCGACCGTCTCCCATCTTGACACTTGACACAGGTCGAAGAGCGGGCGGAGAGCGCACTAAGAGAGCGCCAAGCACGTCACACAGCTGGTGGATATGCGTATCCGTGAGATGCATTTCAGTTTCAGTTCGAGTTTGTATTTCGTTTGGTGAGGTTGACTGTTCGCTACAGTACGTTTCGGCCACTGTCGACGTGTCTCTCCGTCTCTCTTCGCCGTGCGTGTCTGTCCCGACTTTATTTACCTTTTAGCTGGCGTTCCACAAAGAATAAAGATCAACTGAAAGTTACAGCCGTGTATCTTGCGGATACAAAAGTGCGTAGAAAACGTAGAAAACGCAGCAAAACGAAGAGGAAAAGTTGGCGCAGCCCAAAAAGAAAGAAAAAAGCAAAGCAAAGTGCGCGTGTGTGTTTACGTGTGCGTGTGTGTGAGTGCGTGTCTTTTTCGTCGCTCCCTTTGCAAAAAATAGTTTCTCCCAGATACACGACAATTACTTGGGAGCAAAGCAACATATATCTAATAGTTATCATCATTAATTTTTCTTAACAATTTGGGTTTAAAAGAAATTTTCCTCGTTGCGGAATTTCTGTGTGACGTTCCGCTGCCCAAACGTTCCCCGCTCTCTTCGCGCTCTCTCTTCTTTTTTGGCTCTCTCGTGTCGCTTTGCCGCTTTCGGATTTCATAATTTTGTCGCTTTTCGCTTTGCGTATCTTTATTTATATTTTGCTCCGCTTCCACTGCGTTTCGCTCAGTGTGAATTTTAATTGCCCACTTTTTGGAAAATTCAAAATACGAAATTCGAAATTCTTCACCCGCTGCCCCACCCCCCGAAAAAAACACCAAACAATATTAATAGTTTTACATTCTTCTCGCCCAAACAGTTTCTCTGACAAAATACTATATGATTTCACTCAAAATCTTGGTGTATATATTTTGTGCGAAATAAATACAAATAAAAACCATAAATAAAATCAAGCTAGCCTTGGCAAAATCATTGAAAAATATTTTTAAAAAAATACACAAAAAAGAAGAGATAAAAACCAAATCGATATAAAGTTATATTTATACACACAACGGTTTCACTTTGCAAGTTGTATACAAAGTAAAAATAACAAAAAAAAAGCGATTTACAGTTATCCACACAAATTAATAAAATTGTTTGATCGTTAAAAAAACCTCTCAAAATGAAGTAAAACACAAAAAAGTGCAAATCAATGTGCAAAATCAAATTATATATTCAATAATTATCACATATAATGCCGCCTAACAAACTAAACAACCATGGATTAACGCATTTATTGTAGATTATTATCTATGGGATTATACTTGAAGTCAGCGAAAAAGGTTTGATCGACTTTTTTCAACGTAAATCATTAACTAAAAGGTATGATGAGTTACAATAACTGGTAAAGATTTAGTTAAAAAAAAAAAATTGGTTTTCAAACCAAGGCACAATAAATAGATTTATTTCTAAATATATAAAACTTCTAAAACTTTTTTTTTGTTAAACATATCAAAAAAAATATTTACATTTGAATAGAAAATATTTTTCTTATAATGAAAACATTCTAGATTTTCTTTGTCAATGAAATTATTTTGGAAAACAAAAAACATAAAACAAAAATGAATAAATCAATGATTGCTTAAAACATTTAAAATATACATTTTGTATCTAATTTTCTTGCGTAAATTGAAAATGCGTTCAGAACTAAGTATTTTTTTTTTAAATAAAAGCCTTTTTTTAAATAAACAAGTAAAACATCAGTTTAAAAACCATATAAAACCATCTCCAATTCTGATGACTCAGCACAGCGATTATTTCACTCAAGTTTGTCATTCATTGTCCATTTGAGTTGCCCAACATTTCGTCACGATCGTTCTTTGCAAAAGACTTATCAGAACTCCGGGTCGAAGAGTTGAAATAAATAATCTTTGGACATGGAGGTAGAGAAGTCGTTCGAGGAGGCCTATTACATAAGAAAACGTTCGTTGAGTTCAGTTAGAATTCTTTTGCTAATACACGAGCAAACATTGTAAACTGCCTCGGTGTTTGTCGTTCTCGGGCGGTGCGATCTCTCGACGGCAAACAAACCCCAAATTCTACCGGAGAGCTGAGAAAAACCGACTGTAAATCGGCTCACACGAATCTAAAAAGGTTTATTTCGTTCGTGGTTCTAACTTATTCACGCTCTTCAAACGCTACGCTTACGTATCTCACAGATACATTTGTCAAACCGCCGCGTGTGTGTGTGTGTGTGTGCGGGTTTTTTTATCAGCGCCAAAAGCATCGAGTTTTGCATATGATATTGAAATATTTATTTTGAGAACATTTTATTTATACCGTCAATGAAAATTCTCAGCTATTTTTACTAATCACTCTCTTACAAGCGAGACGAACGAAGAGCGAAGAGCTCTTGAAACAATTTGCGACGTATTTTGGTTTGATTTAATTAGTTTATTGTTGCTAGACTTGGTGTTTTTTTTTTTTTTGTATTCGGCTATTAACTGGCTGACGGCAATTTGGATGCTTTTTTTTTTTTTTTTTTTTTTTTTTTGCTTTTTTGGACAGGTCTAACCAGTTTTCCTGTTTGGCGGTGGTTCTACACAAAAATTACAAAAAAAAAAAAAAAAACACAACAAGCGAACACCTCAAACATACCACATTATTTCATAGTTTTTGCTTTGTTTGTTCTTTAAGTTTTTGTTTTTTTTTTTGGTTTTTTTTTTTGGGCGCCCCTTGAACCTAATCTTTGCCGCTCATAATTTAATAAAAGTATGAGGAAGAAACTAACAAAATGCTGCGCTTAGGCTTATCGTCAATGCCCCCACCGCTCAACAGAAAAAATAAACCCGCGGAGAACCACACACGCTGGCAGTAAAGCGGAGATTAGATAATGGCATTTTAAACGATGTCTCTACTGTACAGTAGAGTCGCGAAACACACACAAGAGCAGTGGCCAAGCGACAATGGAAATGGACTTTGTTTTGAAAACTGAAATCGGCTGATAAGACACACAAACACTGAGAATATCGACGAAACCGAGAGAGAAATGGGCAATCGTAGAGGGAACATATAACGAAATACAACCAGATTTAATGGGTAGGTTTCGAACGAACATGGCATGTCAACTACAACATAAATAGCTTCAAAATGTATGGTTATTTAAATGAAAAATTAACATTAAAAATCCTCTCAAACAGTTGAAGTCGAATTAAAAAGTTAAGGGAATCTATAGTTGTAGAATCTGATTATGTTTAAAGGGATTGACTTTAGAAATAGTGGTTCAGTTTCAGCAAAATAATTTTAAAATAAATAAAAACTCAGCATCTTCATTTATGTTACGAGTTTTAAAAATGTTGAGTGTTTGCTATCAGTTTTTAGTATTACATATATCGTTTTTTTACTACTCGTGTAAAACAAATAAAATACAGATACGAGGATTGCTTATGCCATAAAAAAAGGAGGACTTTTTGTAGCTGATATATCGATGGTAGCGGGTTTTTGCGACCTTAGCGTCAATGTCCTCGGCAAACCTTGAGAGCCTTGTCTCCACTTCTCCAATTCTCCGATTCTCCCTTTCTCTGGGGGAAAACTCCGGAGTCGAGTCGCACGTTTTTGGACTTACACGATTGCTTCCCTCGCGACAAAGTTGCTGTGAAGCGTAAATGAATTTGTCCCTTTGAAGTTTTTCATGTTAATTGGGAAATTAAGCTTGACCATCGCGCCAGTTGTGGATCCGTTCTCTTCACTCGACACTTGAAAGTACATATATAAGATACTTTTTTATTCGACTTGGAGTCGCTGGTTTGGTTCCTCTTTTTTTTTTTTTTGTATGTGTTGCACATGATTCTTGTTGGCCGGGACTACGTTTATAATTACGTTAACTTCAATTACTGCTTACGTACAATATCAGACCAATTTTTGTTTGTATTTTTTTTTTTCGAATTTTTTTGTTTTGTTCCAGGTAAACTGGTTTCTGTATGCCTCATTTTGTCTTTTTTGTTTGTACTTTTCTGTGTCTGTACGTACCGCTGCACGAGTTGTGCTATAATTTTAATTTCTTTTTGAAGTTCTGCGCAAATGTGTTGAAGGTCTCTTAACTGCTATTTAAATAGTAGTTAAAAAATTGTTGCCATCTTGAAATTCTTCGTAATCAAACTCATTACAGTTGGCTATGCGGCTGGCAATCCAAACATTTTTTAAGCTTTTGTCTGATCTTAATTTATTTTCTTTTAAACGCGTAGGCAAAGGTTTTTGTAATTTCGAAATTTTAACTTAAAACGTTCTATATTTTGGATAAGAAATTAAACAAGAAATTACTTGAACTTTTTTTTTCAAAATTTTAACATATTCAATGTTTTGTTTTTATTTCTTAATATTTGTTTTTAACAAATAATTTCGATTGGAAATTCAAATAATAGTTTTTCAATGCAATTTTGCAAACGTGTTTTAATTTAGGTTGTAGTTTTAATAATAATTTGGGAATCTTTTTTACATAAATTGAAATTGTTGACAGCACAAAAAAAGGTTTAATTGAAATACACCAATATTATGCAATTCAAATTGTTTACAAATTGTTTTGACTGAGAATTCAGGGTCACAAATAATTTAGTTATGGAATTCCCTAAAATCTTTAGCAGTTTCTTCACATGGAAGTGCGATTGACATTGCTGGATATTTGATTCTCTATTTCCTCCACACATTCACTTATCCACATTGTTGTGCTTTATTCAGCCTTTTTGTGTGCTTTATTTTGATTTTGATTTGTTGTTTGTTTGTTGTGTTGTGTTGTGTTGTTTCGCGAACTGCGGCTTCTCTTGGGGCGTTTGCCGCATTTGAATTTCATTTTTAGATTTCAATTTATTTTCGGCGTAGTTTATGCCAATTTGGTTTTTTGGGTGCGATTTCTTTAATATTATGTATGCCATATATTGTTCCCCACTGCTGCGTGTCTGTGTGTCTGTGTGCTGTTTGCTTCTTCAAATGAATTTGATTTGATACTCATTTTTTCTGTGCACCGCTGGGCCCAGCGGTGTATTTGTTGTATAATAGGTAAACCACCGACAAAAAGGAAAATAAGCCACAAAATTGCAAGCGCTTGCGGATTTTTTCGAGCCGTACTGTACTTGAGCGAAAGAAGCGTGTGATTATTATGGTCGGTCGTATACCGTATCTCATTCGCCCATTCGCAGCCTCTATCTGTGATTTTGTTGTATTTAGTCATGTGTCTCGTTTAGTCATAGTCGAAACACTGAAATACTGTGGACCACAGTTCGCAGTGCGCTGCCTTTTTTAAAAGCATATTAACTAATTGACGTCTGTGTTTATCTATAAGCAAAAAAAAAAATTGAAAAAATCGCTCGCTCGACCCACAAATATTTGACGAACGGACTGACATTTGGGACACAAAAGCGGCGCAGGAAGCGAGACAAATGTTTCAACTCATTTGGAAGACCATTTCATTGATGTCTGCATACAACACTCTTTTCCCAGTACTTTTGGCCACCGCCAACTATAATTATCTTAATTAAAAATCTAGAGTCAAAGTTGTTGTGGCCCAGTCTAAAAAGTCGTAGAGCAGCCGGCTATTAGCTCATCTGGTTTTCTGGCGAATTGGGCAATCAACTTTGTCTAAATGGTGGGGGAAAAGCTAAAGACAATCTCGACTCTTAGTGGAGATCCGTAGTTTCCATCGTACTACTTGCTCATTGCTCTGTTGAAATTTAAATATACGGAATATATAATTTTCAGCTGGCTTTTTTGGCCGAAATAATGTTGATGTCATAGGTTCGTTGGCTGGGCGTAAAAAGATCGTTGGTAGGCATTCAGTCCGAAGCTGTGTGTTGATTTTCTGCCTGTGTGTGTGTGTGTGTGTGGCTAATGCAAGCATCCGAAAGGCAAAAAAAAAAAACTAAAAACAAAAAACAACATTTGAAAACGACTCAGGAATGCCCATTATATATGCCAAATATTTGCTTTGTCAAAGTATTTTTCTGGTTTGTTTTATGAGTATTAGTTGAATTCGGAGTGATTGAATAGGCCTGGCCAGCAGAAAGGAAGGAAGGAAGGAGGCGGAGGGTAGTCCCATATAAACTATAGTTTTGACTGATTAGGGTGCATGAGTCACGGATCAGAAAGCAGATACCGGAACCTTGTTCGATGTAACCTAAGATAACTGCGTAATAACTTAACAAACTATAGAATCGTCATAGATAACGTCAAAGTTATAAATTTGTGTTCAAGGTGTCTTTTTTTTAATATTAAAGAAAAATTGGAGTGGAGCATTAAATTTTCAATGAAAATAAGATTTTGTTGCAGTCCAAAATATAATCATACATAACAATTGCCAACTTCAATGTTAAAAAAATATATGTTTTTTTAAA